AAGATATTTAGGTGCCTAAAGATGCAGAAAGCCCCAAATTAGATTTTCAAAAGTGCCTAGGTGCCTAACTGAAATTGGAATCAATGGGAGTTAAGTGTTAAGGTGCTTTTGAAAATTTTACCCTATATCATCTTCATACACATGCGTCTGATGAAGTGGGTATTCACCCACGAAAGCTTATTTTCCAATACATCAGTTAGTCCTAAAGGTGCCACAGGACTCTCTGTTGCTTGTCACAGATCCAGACTAACACGGCTACCCCTCTGATACTTGATACATATGCAATCACCCTTGCTGAGCAACACTAATAATGGAAACACTTAAGTTACCATTTTAAGTACAGTAGGTGCCTACCAAACAAACAAGTGTAAACACACGTTTCCTTACTGTGACTATAACCATACTGCAGCCACCATTTGTCCTTTCCTATTTGAAGTGCACTTCTATCCACAAAAAAAGGACAATATCGAATTTAAACACCCCTTGCACAATAAATCAGGGAAAGTCAGAGATGTCCTGTTGGACTTGCTAAATTAAGCGAACACGATTCATTGTTCTACAGGAAAAGGCAACCTTTAATAGCTCCCTGAAAGAGAGCACAGATGATTTATGGTTTCATACGCACTCATGTACTACATTATCTACTTGGTGCCTGTACTTATGCATATCAGCTCATCACAGAAAGTACAATTCTGCCCACCGGATGCCACTTAGCTATACATTATAACAAAATCTAGGACATGAAAGGAGGAACCTATATGTAACCTGCCCCCGAGTCCCGGCCGGTGGCGCAGCAGGGCTCAGGCAGGCAGGCTGCCTGCATTTCGTGGCCAGAGGACCCGTGCCGCTCCCGGAAACGGCTGGTTGCTGGCACGTCTCTGTGCGCCCCTGGCTGCGGGGAGGCAGCTCCGCGCGCTGCCCCCGCTCCAGGCAGCGCACGGAGACCTGCTGCCCCCTTCCCCTCGAGGGGCATGCAGAGACGTGCCAGCAGCAGCACAGCAGGGCTAAGGTGGCTCCCTGCCCGCGGTGCCTCCCTCCCTCCACACCGCTCCACTCCCGGAAGGGGCCGGCATGTCCCTGCAGCCCCTGGAGGGGGTGTCTCTGCACATTACCCCTGCCCCGAGCGCCAACTCCGCAGCTCCCATTGCCTGCCCCCCCAGCCTAGGAGCCGCTGCCAGAGGGGTGTGCTGGTCGCTTTGGGAGCCACACCGCCCAACGTAAGCGCCACCCCCTAACCCCTGCCGCACCCCAAGCCCCTGCCCCAGCCCAGAGCCCGCACCCAAACTCCCTCCCAGAGCCTGACCCCTGTACCCACTCCTGCACCCCAACCCCCTACGCCAATCAAGGTACCTCACTTTATTTTCATTTACTTCCTATTACTTATAATATAGCAGAAGGATGAAGACAAAAAAATGAAAAAAAGGGTGAAGATAAGAGAGGATGTTCTTTTTCTTGGCTGCGTCCCAAGGATGGGGCCCCCGAAAATCAAGCTGTGCACAGGGCCCCGCAAACTCTAAATCCGTCACTGGTTGAGGACCAAATATTTAAAGGTATCGAGGTGCCTAAGGATGCAGGGTAGACACCGCATGGGATTTTCAAAAATGCCCGGGCACCTGACTCCCATTGATTTCAACAGGAGTTAAGAGCTTAGGCACTTGGAAATTCCCTCTAGGCATCTATCTGCATATTGAGGCAGCACCAAAATACCCTTAAAAAAAATCTCACCTTAAGTCACTTGCCAAAAGCCTGCAGCACAGCCAAGAATCAAACCCAGATCTCCAGCATCCCAGTGGCATGCCCTCACCAGAGGGTGATACACTATGGTGATGAATATATGATAAACTACTGTGTAATATAAACACATGGCTAGGTACTGCAAACCCATCCCATCAACGTTATAGAAATGTATATAACTGGTATGAGCACTGAAGATGATGAAGGCAAGCTTGGGAGAAAGAGAAGGTGGAAAACCTTGTCATTTATGAATTGATGAACTGAGTGTATAGAAACAGCACTATAAAATGGACCAGCCAGAAGCGATTCTTTGGAAATACCATACAAACTGCACCCAACAAAGCCAGGGATTTGTTGAATTTATGATGTGTGTGCAAGAATACTCAATGGACTCCTGTCCATGCCAGCATGGTCCTAAATGGGACACCACTTTAATTTTCACTCACAAAGCCTGACTAGTCATAGATGAAAGATGACCGACTGTTGACATTACTTAAAATTTTAGAACTGAATTGATCCCCCTGGCACAGATGAATAGTCTCAATCTGAGGCACAAACACCCAAACACCACTCACCTATACTGCCATCGCTACATCATCACCTGTGACATATCTGGGTTCACATTAAACATATTAAGCTTTATTTATTGTACAGCATGCTGCAGCATTTAAGTCTGCCCTGCAAAGCACTACATAAATTACAGCTTTGCTGAATGTCAGGTAGCACATAAAGCCAGCATGCCACACAAAAATCTAAGACAAATCTCTTCTGTACATGCTGGAAAATGATAAATATATTTCTTAATTACTAGAAAACATCATAACCGTGAACCTGTTTCTTATAAAAATCGTATCAGTAAGAAAAGAATGTGGTTTGAGAGAGCTTTAAAAGTAGCTTGGGCAGCTAGTGAAGGCTACTTTCTAAAGCTAACACTGTATGTTTCTCTCTCAGCTTTGAGTCTCCTATCTCCCATTGCTGTCACTGAGAACTGTGCAGCTAAAACCCACAGCACTTCGATAATTTATGAGACTGTGATTCCAATCCCGGGCTTTAAAATTGGAAACCTCCCTTCTCAGTACCACAGAACCACTGTGCACATATGCCATCAATCCATCCACAGAAGAACTTTGGGGGGGAGGGGGGAGGGGGAAGAGGAGAGGCATCCCACCCAGTTTTCAGAGTTTTCCATTTTATTTCTCTTTAAGTAAGCTGCACAAAAGGAGTGGATGAATCCCACCTGTACACAATCCTTCACAAATCATACACTAGCCAGAAGGTTCCCATAGAACAATAAGGTCCCTCCTGAGCTACTGAAATAAACGTTAAATATTAAAAATCTTACTTGCCGTCAGCACTAGAAGCTCTGAGAGTTTCGAGGGCTCAGGAGGGGAATGGCTGAAGCCTCTACGTTCCAGCCAGGTAACAGTTTTACCTCATAAAACTAAGCAAAGCAAACTTCAAATTAAACTCCCTATTGAAAATAATAGAGGCATTGTGAGAGGAAACAGTCTTGGTTCCCTAATTGAGGGAGCTCTTATAGTGAATATGACTATTATTTGTATTACTGTAGTCTTGTTGCTGGACCTGGACCGCACTGTACTAGGTGTTGTATAAAAACAGAACAAAAAGATGGTCCCTGCTCCAATAAGCTTGACATTGGAGGAAGTGCAGTTGCACTGAACAGGCTGTGCTGAAAGATTCGGGGAGCCAATGCAGGGGAAGCACATGCATTATTACAACCCAGCTCACCTGGGGCTCCTTTCACAATGGGGATTTGGGGGTAGGGCCAACCCTCCTCTTCCATCCCTTATCATGGGAAGGAATGTGATTTGGGCTTTAGGCTGTGTATCTGCAGCAGATTCAGCGACAGCACTTATTAAGGCCAGTCTGCAGGGTCATGTCTGAAAAGAAGTCAGCCAATTCTTTTACCACATATAGAAGCTGGGCTGCCTAGCCAAATACTGAAAGTTATTCACCCCGCTATTACTCACAACCGATTTTATTTGCCTTCGACTGTGCATACACCTTCTCTTTTTCCTCCTGTTCCTTTCGAGAGCTAATAGATGTAAGTCTTTAAAAAAATGTAAATTGAGGTTTATTTAAAAGCAGTGCAGGAGGCACTTGGCCATGCATCTTTCATTAGAATGAACTGGGGGTAGGGGGTGAAAGCGCACACTGCTTTGAAAAATCTCTGCCTATTGCTATGAAATATCCCACCACCTCCTTGGCTACAGAATATGCTGTCAGGTCCACATCAAGTTGAGGAGGTTTGCAAGGCAGATAATGGATGGCAGCTTGATAAACACAGCACAGAGGCCATTTTGCAGCAGCATACAGGTATGCATGCAGGATAACGTAAGTGGTCTCAGGCTCAACCACCTATTACGCTCTTTACTGTTCCGAGTGTTAATTCTTGATCTTCCAGCTAAGGTGTGGTATTTATAGCACCCTTATTCAGCAAAACTTTAAAGCACATGCACAGTCCCACTGAAGTCAATGAGTGAGTGCTCAAGTGCTCTGCTGAACTGGGGCCCAGGTGAGCTAACAGGTGACTGCAGTGCAGCTCAGAAGAATAGCCAGACAGACAGCATCATATCTCTAACATGTCACACATATGCCCAGAATCCCAGCTGGTATAAATCTGTGTAGATTTAATTTAAGGCCCAAGAGACCATTAGATCATGTAGTTTGATCTGCTGTACAATACATGCCATAAAACTGCATCCGGTTGACTCTTGTATTGAGTCCAATAACTTGCGTTTGACAAATGTTAACTTCAACAGGGCTACAACCAAATTATAACAGATGGGAATTTGTCCCATAAACTACAACAGCTCTAACCCACTGGTAAATCTTCCCTAGCAGCACTAAGTGTATTTAGTATAGCAAAGCCCTATCCCTTCGGCTAAAGTTGATGGGTAATAGTGAAAGCTGCGAAAAGATGGGTAAGAAAAAGATCACCATAACGGCACGAAGAAAATATTGTTTGTGTTGCATCATCTGCCAGTGCAGATGTTTATAGGCACAAAGGTGTATACAGCAGTACCACAATCCTTACACAAAGGCTATGGTTACTGCCACGCTATTTAATCAACTGTGAAATTGGAACTTGACTGTCCGGAAAAAAAATAGGCAACAATTTTCCCAAAACATAAAAAAAAAAAAAACAGCTTCAGAAGAGTCCAATGCAAGAGACACGCAAAGAAAAGCAGCTCTGTACAAAATCCGTATTGACCAAGAAACAGAAAGTAGTAGCATCTCATTACCTGTTTTTGGATTGATAGCAAAGAAGTTCTGAGGGTTTCCACTTGTAATCCTGTAGGTCAGTTTTTCACTGCTGCTGGAGTCAGGATCTTGGGCCTGGATGTGAATGACGGATACATCCTTAGGGGAGTTTTCCATGACAGCCGGATAATAAATAGGTTCAGAGGTCAGAGGGGCATTGTCATTCACATCTTCAACTTCAACATAGACCTCGATGGTAGCATAAAGTGGGACGACACCACGATCAGTAGCATACACTGTTAGCCAATAGGATTTGGTTGTCTCTCGGTCAAGGACATCTGCAGTATAGATAACTCCTGCAGGAAAGACAGTAAGCACAGTACTGTGGATCACTCAAAAAACAACAGAGATAATAAAAGGCACGTCTTCACCTGGTGTTTAGAAGGAGAGTATAGTGCAAATGTATAAAACATATCAATCGCAAAAAATTACTAAATCATTAAATGTGCATATGGACACAATGACAACAAATCTATCCTCAGCCATCTGTTCTCAAACCCTGCTCAACAGCTCCACCCTTACCCTAAGAAAAATCTGGGAAAAGAGATGGGTTTAGTAGATTTGGAGTTGAAGGGGGAAGGTCCAGAGTGAATTACACGTTGCCAAAATGCCCTGGGCAATAACCCCATCTTCTTTAAACCCTGGAACTGTCACATCAGTGGTTGTCAACCTATTTACCATTGTGGGCTGCATACACAACACTCAATGAAAAGCAACAGAGAGTCCTGTGGCACCTTTAAGACTAACAGATGTATTGGAGCATAAGCTTTCGTGAGTGAATGCCCACTTTGTCGATGCATTCACCCACGAAAGCTTATGCTCCAATACATCTGTTAGTCTTAAAGGTGCCACAGGACCCTCTGTTGCTTTTTACAGATCCAGACTGACACGGCTACCCCTCTGATACTTAACACTTAATGAGTTACGTGGGCCGCATCCACACAATATATATAGGCCTGTATGGCCCTGAGGATGTCACATGGGCTGCCGCTATGTGCGGATTGGCCACAAGCGGCCCACAGGCCACAGGTTGAGAACCACTGCATCAGATGATCACAACTGATGGGAGGGAGACAGTTCCTCCTTTGAAAAGACCTCCTGAGACTTCGCTAAAGATATTGAAACAAACAGGGTATGAAGATTATAATACTGACATTGCTTTCAAATTAAACCAAACAGTGATAATTTGTCACACATTGCATATGTCCCAGATAATCAACAGCTTGCTACTTAATCAAGGCACATCCACTCCACCTGCTGAGGACAGAAAATGACAACAGGTTTCCCATCCACTCTGAGTGTGTATGTAGAGCTACCACCCTTTAGGATATATATAACTATACACCATGTATTCCCTTTCCCAAAAGCCATCCGCCCACCTTCAATTCAGTCTAAAGTGATGTACGGACCCATTTTTCTCCCACTGAAATCAATAGCAAATACCACATTGACTTCAGTAAAAGCATCACAGGGTCCTTACATTGTAAATTTCTTGTGGCATAGACAATTTCTTACATAGATCCAATCCTAATTTCAGAATTTAAGTTCCTATTGACCTCAGAGCAGACTCTGTGTTTGAAGAGTGATAAACACAGTAACAGTGCACAAGTAATAATAATACCAAAATAAACACATTCAGCTATATTTTCCTCCCACCACTTTTGGGATGTATACAGAGACCGTTTACTTATCCTAACCCAATGCTAACATTTTGGCAGAAACACCAATATAGCTGAACTCAAGGATGAGATATATTAACAGGGACAGTTTGGAGAAAAGTAAGTCATGCTGCTAATAGAGAGAAATTAGTGAAGAAGCTGTAGGGCAGGATGGTAACACAAGAAACTTGGATTTAGCCACAGATGCATTTAGTACTAGATAAAGAGATTAAATGCATCAATTTATCATTCAGGAGGCAGATCTGCTCATGGGCCAGCACTAATGGGTTATTTTTGATTACACCATACAGGACTTTCCGTAGCAGCCTAAAGTCTTACACAATCTTTAAGCTAATCAGAATAGATCTGAGTGATCCTTTATAAATTCAGGGCTGCATTTGTGCCTTGGAGGCCAAACCAGCCATTTGTGATAGGTTTTGGTTCAGGTAGAAAGGGTGTGCTCCAGCCCCGAGGAAAAGCTTGACTCGGCCAGGAGTCCAGCATGTTGCAGTGAGATATCTATTGTCCTTTAAACGGTTTAAATCTAGCTCCCCAGTTCTAGCTCTAATGGACTGTGTGGAAGGGGTCAGATCCATGGTCCCAGCCTCACCCCACTCTGGAGAGACTAGCACGATGGCTAAGAAGTGGCTCTGCTCACCCGCCTCACTGTGCATTGTCCTTGATGAGGGAATGCAAGTGGGGGAGGAGAGATAAACTCCAGGTGTATGAATGGCTTATGTACCAGTGTGGGCCAGGGATTGTATGCACTCCACAAGGCTTATCACAGCTCCTCCAGGTAGTGAAAACAGCAGGGAATGACTAAGGCAAATCACTCATGTTATAACACCTCCAGAGAAGTACCACCTTCTGGGGAGGCTAACATATTCTGATTTAAACTGGATTCTCCAGAGACCAACAGACAAAGAAATGACTTTTGGATAAATAGCCCAGGCTTAAACTGACTCAGGGCCTTCATTTTGGTTCTTGACTGAGATGAACTTGTAACCACAGGGAAAACCCAGTTGTGGGGTTTGACTGACACCTACCAGAGTCCTATGTTGGAGTTGGGGGTGATCTCAGGTAAGCTTTTTAGCATGTGTACAGGTTCTTTTATTGTTTTTATGTTTTCTCCGTAATGCTTTTATCTTACGAATAAATGTGTTTGCTTAGGTGGAGCTGTCTGGTAATACAATACACTGGTCACTGCACTCAGAGAAAGCAAAGTGCAGGCACTGGCCTTTTAGGCAGACTGGCTTGCTGGACATATCAGTGCAGATAGAAGAGCTGGGCAGCCTTAAAAACCCCGGTCAGGAGAGCGTGAGAACCGGATCTCCACCAAGGAGAGGTGGCGGCTGGGAGCCAGAAACTCCTATGCGGGTGCCCTTGAAGGACCATGGAGGGGGAAATGCAGATGCAGTTACCGTGAACCTGTGACAGAAGTCGTATCCAGCACCCTCCCCACTGATTTCTGTTCAGCCCTGGAGAGAACATAGGGCCCAAGTAGTCAATTAGTAGAAGCGTTTGAAGTAGGGACACTTGTCCACTAGGAAGTATACTTAGGCTACTAACTTACTTCTATGCTTTAAAAAGTTTTTAAACATCAAAAAGCAAAAACCCTTTTTTGGCGTGAACAGCCTGTCTGATAAGAGCTCCCAGGCACTTCAATCCAACGCACAGACGGGAAGACAGAGAGGGAGAAAATGGCACGAATTCCAGCAATATAAAAACTCAAAGTCTTTTTCCAGAAACATCAGGTCCATGACCTTGTTGATCAGATACATTAATCACCTAACACAGGGAAGTAACACAGTGCTTTAGGGAAAAGGGAGAGTATATTCTAAATATCCCTTGTCGGCAGGCTCTGCCACATAATGACTTTCTGTAGAAACATGGATGAAATATGTAGTGAAGAGTGATGGAAATACCTAGAAATCCAAAAGAGAAACGATATTCTGTGCATGAAAAGAGCCCATAATAAACAACACACTCTGGAAATAAATAAATAAATAAATCCAACCAGGAAGGGATAACGCAAAGAGATGAAGAATAAATGGCCATAGAAATGCTAATTTATCAAAAAGACAAGAGGGATTATTTTAGATACGTAAACAGAAATTGAGATGACTGATTTTTCTTTTCCCAAGGAGAGCAAGGGAATGTGCTGGAAAATTAACAGCTGTTTTTGAAGCTGAATTCCACTAGCATTGAGCTGACAATAAATATATTTTCTGAGACCTTCCTTTACTTTACTGCGGGCAACAGTTACTTTGCACTTCTGCATTTTAGAGGGAAAGGATCACGGAACAAGTGTAGGCAATTGCCAACGGGTCTTTTCCAATGCATTTAAAAATTGATTTATTAAAATGTTCCAGCTACAGATTAATTTCCTTTGCTCAGTATTTCTCGTCATTTCACCTGCCGTGAAACAGAAACTTGATAAACAGATTAAAAGTTTATCTACTTTCATTTGGATGTTCTCTAAATATAGCACCTCCCCATATTCTCTGCTGACAGTGTCTTTTGGAACTCCCCACAAGAGTGCTCCCAAGTGAAGCACAATAATTTCCTCCACATTTATTGTTGCTACAAAAGCATCTACAGGATCCATTAAGTTCCTAATGCCTGATCCAAAGCCCAATGAAGTCATTGGGAGCCTTTCTACTGATTTCACTGGGCTTTGGATCAGAGGCCTAGTGCATAATCAACAACCCATCCGATGTTTCCTGCAGTCTGTTGGTGCCTCCCCCAACCCCAGCTTTCAATAGAAAGAGAACTTTATTTTAAAAAGTCTAACCTTTATGATTGTGAAAACTTTTCAAATGTGAACCAATGCATCATCGTCTTCCTACATATCTAGACAAACTAATCTTAAGAAAGCTCTTAGACAGCCTCCAGTCATTCAGAAGGATCAAACTTCATCTCAATGAGGTGTTAACTCTGAAATCTCATGATGACATTTCACTACCAATGTTTGCTGTTCATTATATTGGCAATGTGTATATCACAGAGTGGTTGATATAATATTATCACAGACATTAGGAGATGGAAAAGATTCTACTAGATAATCCAAAACTTGCTTAAACTTATCCCTGTAGTACCTGTGTATTATTGAGAATGAATAAGGAAGGAGAGTAGAGAATGTGTGTGAATGCAGGATCACCAGAGATTCAAAAAAGACTCCATTCTCTTCAAAGCTGTAGCCACTATTTTACTCCTTAGCAAATAAAATATGTTCAAGGTAGTTACAACTATGAAAATGTTTGCAGAAGAAAAGAACTTTATTTGCAGCTGCCACAAAAGTAGAGAGAAGTGGAGATTTGTGCTTTAAGCTGCAAGCTTTTTCACGGACATGGGATGACCTTCTTCATGTGTGAGTAGCCAACAAATATTAAAAGAAATACAAGTGAGACAATCGTCCCCACTGTGAACAAATCAAGAAGTGCCAAGGATCATCATCAGTGATTCAGAAACTTTTTGCGGAAGGGGGGCAAGAATGGGGGGAAAGGGAGAGGGAAGGTCTGAGTTATTTCCAGACCCTTTTACAGCTGAACTTGAAAAACACATTGACGTACAATGTTCCAATCCACTGTCACCATGTTTTATGAAAGACTCGCTTACTGAGTTTTTTTAAAATGATA